GCACTCTACCAAGGGTGACAAAGTGAGACTGTCTCAATAAAATAAATAAAAATGAAGACTGGACAGGTAGTGACAATGTCATCTAAGGAGTAATATAAACAGTAAATAACAATCTCATTTTGCTGCACTAGAAACCAGTAAATGGATATAAAGAAACTAATCTTATCAACAACATTTTTGGAAAATGAAGAAACATTTGAATGTTTCTCTAACTATTAGTATTTAACAAGATATGAAAACCAAGAAGGTACAAAAGAAGAACTAGTGGAAACCAGGGATTTAATCCTTACACCTACAGCTCCAAAAAACCCAGGATATGGAATGTTTCACAATAAATTAGCACCAGATTTCTACCCCAGGAATGTCAAGAGGGCAGAATGTCTGAAACTAAGACAAAGCTTCCAAAGCCATGTAACCAAAGACCTTTTAACATAATAGAAACATTTAAAATATTATGTAGCAGTAAATATCATAGTAAAATATCCCAGTTTTCTCTAATCCTATGGTCTGTCTTCTACCAAAAACTTTTTCCTGATTTTTAACTCAAAAATATAAATTTATCTTATATACATATTTTTCATATAGATATATATCATATTTATCAATTTTTACCTATTTATCTTACTGATCGTTCATCTTTCTCAATATATCTTATCCATAAATGAGGTATGTCAATTGAGAGGACAAGAAAAAATTTTGTCTCTGCCTGCTTAGCTGTTCCTATGATGGACTCCTGGTTACTCCATCACCTTCTGCTGGATTCAGGCCTCTCTCCTTTCCAGATGGACATGTACAATTTAGGCAGTCAGAGGTAGGACCTGGCCCTTCCTCTCCCTATTGCCTCCCTTCCTGGCTCTGCCCTCATCCTTCCCCTAGAAGTCTCATGGAGACTTTAGGAAATGGAAAGAGGTTAGAGGAAGGGGGCAAGGGAAGAAAAATAATGGAGAGGATGTTGGCTTGACTGAATTGACAGGGAAAATGCCCAGGACTCTGGTGACCTTGGAGAAGTCTGCCAACACAGAAATGTCCTCTGGGCAAGCCTGATTTTGACAACTCTATCATACACTGCCTCCTGAATTCCATTCCTCACTCTTTGGGGAGTCAGACTTCTCCCCCAAGGCAAGGACAGTATCTTCTATTTCCACAGCACCTAAACTGCCACTGAGCACAGGGACACTTGGTACAAGCTTTGGGGAAGGAATTGAGGAGGGAGGAAAAGAAGTATAAACCTATTTTTCTAAAGCTCCATTCTGGAAATTAGGGCAACGTCATTAAAGCAGGGTCTGGAGAGAGCCAGGGGCCTTCAGGAACTGGTATAATTCTGCGTGGCTATTCAGCTGGTTTGCATCAGTGCAGCATAGAGGTGCTCCAGAACTGGTCCTGCCTACACATAGCCACTGTTAGATATTTCTTATTCTGTCCTTGGGTACATTCACTGGAAAGCCATAAATGCTTTGCTGCTGAAGGCCAAAAGACAGCAAGACTTTGGCAGATGCCACATTCCCTTCCCAGCTGTCTGTACTTACAACCCTAATACTCAGCGCCTGTGGCTCAAGTGGCTAAGGCGCCAGCCACATACACCTAAGGTGGTGGGTTCTAATCCAGCCCGAGGACTCCAGAAACAATGTTCCTTTCTGCCTCCTAAGCCCCACTGATT